ATCAGTGGGATCATTGGCAACATAATTGAACTCAATCTCCAGCTGCCCTGATGTTGGGTTGGTTCACCTGATTCAAAGACCTGACATTCTAATCACATTGTTGTTTTTTTCCGGCAATTTCAAACCCCACCTGAAGATAGGTAGGGATGCACCATGAGTCACCTTTGCAGCATATACTCAGGTGGGGACCAAGATGCCCACCATGAATGACAAAGATGCTCCTGTGACTGCAGAAATTTCAAGGGCTTATTTAGAGGCTTTCTCCCAGGGGCCCAGGACAAGGAGCAGAGAAATTCTTTATTATACAATATCCAAGCAAGGTCTGACTTTACCTCTACTTCTCTTTCCATTGCTTAAGGAGCATAGAGCTAGTTATAGGCTCTTTTAGAACAGTCTGTCTGAGTTAGAAACAGTTAGAAACTCTCTGCTCCTTCATGCATTCTCTTATTCATGATCTCTACCATCTCTCTCTCTCATTACATTCTGTTCTTCCTCCAACTGTGACAGAAACTCCGAATGGAGGAGAACAGGTGTGCTTATTTCTTTAGCCATTCACCTTTCAGCCACTTCTAGGTTTTATCTCAACACACCAGCCCTGATGTTGCCATGGAGACTTTCCTCTGTGGGATCGAGCCTCTCTGGGTCTGGGTTGTGGCATCTGTTGCAACGGTGCCAGAGATATCTAAAACCTTGCTGCCCCAGCGTGATCTCTAAGTGAAGAGCAATTTGTCTCTTCTCTTTAATCTTACTTGCTCTTCTATCTTATAGGACAAAATAGGTTCTCTGTGTGCTCCTTTGTTGTGTTAATAGGAATAACTAATTCTAAGTGATTTACCCAATGATGAAGGGATGGTTCATTTAAACCAAAGACTCCAACACTGTTGGGGGTCAAGGAGGGGACTTGACTCTGGATCCAAAAGCTGTTGAGACTTTGTGAGTTTCTCCACAGCTGCTTCAAGTTATTTCAGAAGAAATTCTTCCTCTGCCTCCTGGTCTACTCTGTAAGAGGAAGAAGGTCCTCCACGGACCTGGAGAGTGTATGTTTATAGGTCAGCCACGTGCAGAGATGGTCCTAGAAGAGAGATTCTTAGTGAAACAACTTGAACCAAGAATCACTGCTGATCCAAGTAGCTGTGATGAGCAAGTGGGATTGCATAGTAAAGACCTGGATACTGGGCTCCCTGGCTTTTAGGTCAGAAAGAAAGAGTTCAGTAACTAGACAAGGGAGAATCCATTGGTCCAGCAGCTGGGTAATTACCTTCAAAAGGCACCTACTATGTTAGCTTTTTATTTATTCATTTGATATATACTTCCAGACTGCCTGTGGCATGCTAGTCATTATTCAATGTATAAGTGATAGAGCTGTGAGTAAGACAAAGTCCCTTCCCTTTCTCTCATGATCTTGGCCATCAACTCTCTTATTTGCATTTCCACTGTTATGATTTCCATCCTAAATGTCCCCTGAAGACTCATGTATAGAAGGCTTGGTCCCTAGGTATTTTAGTCAGTTTTTCTCACTGTGACCAGAAGACTTGACAAGAACAATGTAGAGGAGGGAAAGTTTACTTGGGGCTCATGGTTTTAGAGGCCTCAGTCTGCAGATGGCTGACTCCATTGCTGTGGGCCCAAGCGGAGGAAGGGCTGGTGGAGGAAAGTGGCTCAGGATATGGCAACAGGAAGCAAAATAACTTACCTCCTCTATCCCCTACAGCCTGCAGTTATCATCCAGTTAATTTGCATCAGTGAAATCACTCACTGATTAGGTTATACCTCTCATAATCTAACCATTTAACTTCTGAAAGTTTTTGCATTGTCTCACATATGAACTTTTGGGGGACATGGTTCTATTGGGAAGTGGTGGAAGCTTCAGGAGATGGGGTCTGGTTGGAGGAAGTATGTCATTGGGGCTATGCCCTTCAAGGGCATATTGGGACCCCCACCTCTTCTCTTCTTCTTTGTTTGCTGTCTGCCATGAGATGAACAGTTTCCTCTACTATGTGCTCCCTGCCATGATATTCTGCCTCAGCACAGCAGAAACAATGGAGCCAAATGACCATGAACCTCCGGAACTGTGAGCCAAAATTAAATTTTCTTCTGATAAGTTGATCTTTCTCAGGTATTGTATCACAGTGACAGAAATCTGACTAAAGCATCAACTCTGCAGGGAACAAACAGTATTTATTAGCCTACTCTTGTTCTCTTGATTCTTTCTCTTCACTTATTTCTCAACTAATAGATATTTATTGAACTCCCACTGTTTGCTGACACTGTGCCTATTTATATGGGGGAGTTGTAAGTACATACTCTTATTTTGTATGGTGGTATTTGCAAAATGCATTAACTCAGGATTGTCTCATGAGTCTGAATTTGAAACCTTAGTCATTATGTACTTCTTTTCTGCACTTTTCCAATTTGGATCCTCAATACTGATTTTTTTTTAATTGGCCCCTGATACAATTTTGTCTATTTGACAAAATTTGCTTAAGCTCTCCTTGCCCTTATCTACAATGCCTTTCTCTTTACTAATACAAATCGTACCCATTCAGTAAGGCTCATATCTGTCAACAATGTCTGTTTTATCCACCTCTCCATCCCAAGCACAATGTTGTTGATGACCTATGATCCTCATTAGCACCTTTTAGCCAGCTCTCAGTTACTTGGTCATAAACTGTCACTCACTGGTAAACAGGTAATTGTGGTTATGACTTTGTGCCTTAAACTAGTTACCATTTTGGAGGGCAAGAGCTAGAACTCTTATTTTTGTGACCCTGGCAGCATTTGACAAGTGATTCTCAATTGTGGCTGCCCATTAGTATCACTTACAGAATATAAAAAACAAGAACAGGAAGAATCTGAACAGTAAGGAAGGCAGGAATCTGTGAAAGCTCCCTTGATGATACTGATGCACCCTGAGTTGGGAGCCACTGAGTAAATGCAATTCAGGCAATGAACTATTTTGGTTCAAACTAGTGTGTGTATCTGTGCATGTCCCTGCATCTCTGCTTGGGGAATTCAAAGGCACCCTTTATACAACTTGGATAAAAATGATTTATTCCACCAGCAAATATGAGTGTTCATTATGTGCCAGGCACTGTTGTGGGTGCTGAGGTCACTGCACTGAACAAAGCATGTCCTTGGTGTCCTGGAACTTATGCTCTGGGGCGCAGGAGAAGACCATAAATAAATAATGTCAGGTAATGGGGATAAAAAAGCTGTGGAGGAAAACAAAATAGGGTAAGTGGCAGAGAGAAAAACAGTGCTTTTACATGGGCTAGTTGCAAAAATATTCTCTATCCGTCTTAAATCAGTGAATGCTTTAAAACCCAGCCTGGGCTGGGAGGGTAACTCAGTGGTAGAGCACTAGCCTAGCAAGTGTGAAGCCCTGGGTTCAATCCCAGCACATGCATATACATACATAAAACAAAACCCTCAAACAAAGTCAAATCCCCCATACAAAACCTCGGCCTTCTCTGATTGAAGTCTAGGAGCCAGACCTGGTAGAGCAGCCAGTTTTGAAATACAGACTCTTGCTCTCTGCTGCCCCTTACTGATAATAAGGAGAGGGCCCAGCAGTGTCCAGTGGCACAAGGAAGGATCTCAGACAGAGGGAGGTCGGTGGGAAGGTGAGGGAATCAGTTCCTCACTGAAACAGCCAGGAGGCTATGGTCCCCTGCTAGACGATGGGAACAAAAATGGAGTGTACCTGATCTGTGACCAGGGACCCCACTCTGAGCCCCAAAGCCTGCATACCTGGTGGGTGCCTTAGTTCACTTCAGAATTAACCCTTACTTAGTATTCATTATATTATGTTAGCTCTCAATAACTTCATGTTTTGCCCCGTCTGTTAAGGATTACAATCCTTATGCTCACTTTAAAAGATAACTTTGCCAAAACTTTATTTTTCAAATTTTCTCCATGACAATAACAGCATTCTTTGTTGCTGGGAAGTGGAAATTTACTCCACTAAGATGAGCTTTAAAAATGATACCCAACATGCACGTCTGTGATATGGTGAACAGATGGCAGGTGTGAACATATATTTAAAGGAAACAATGTAAGGCTCCATCTGTAGGGCATTTATTTTTCCATGACCCTTTATCTCAGGCATTTCTCTCTAAAGGTTCATTCTCAAGGTGGGTGGCCCTTTCCCATGAGGGATACTGACTTGTAGTTGAAGTGGTAATGAATTCTCTCTCTCTCTCTCTCTCTCTCTCTGTGTGTGTGTGTGTGTGTGTTGTAAGGGTTTTATCCTTCTGTATACTCATAACTTACTCAAAGGAAGGTTAGTAGGGAGTTTAGCTCACCCGGGGAGGTTTGGCTATAGGACTGAAATAAAAATTTCAGTAGGGAATAAAATAAAATGAGATAAAAAAATTCAGTAGGGAGTCAGGCTGGTTCGTGTGGTAACCAGAGAAACAGTAACTTAAGCAATGAAATGCAAGCTCAAACTGAGGTCCATAGCTGGGGTTGGTAAAGCTACTGCCCTCAGGTGACTAGACACATACATGGAGGAAAGCAGCAGATCCTTTTCCATCGTAGACCATCTTGGGAGCAGGTCCTTCACACCGGGGTGCGGGACTTTCATTTTAGAGTGCAGAGGTGTGCTTTCACTATCCCCTTCCGTGGGGACTGCATCCAGGGACGTCTTTCCAGGCTGTTTGCCACCCAGTACCTAAGTAGCAACAAAGAAGCCCAGAAAATCCAGTTCCAAAGCGCAATCCTTGGGACGGCAGGTGGCTCTCAGCAAGAGAGTTTTGCCACCCGATCCCTCACCCCCATTGTCCTCACGATCCCGGTTGCAACCGGAAGAGGCGCGCCCCCACGGTGCACTCACACCCGGCTTCGCGGACTTTGCACGCGGCTGCTACGCTCCTCCCCGCCCAGCCTCAGGCGCGCCCCAGGCTGCCCAGGGAAGCGCTGGAGCCCTGGCTGCAGCCCCCGGGGAGGGCAGGCGTGGCTGGCTCCACAGCCCCTGGGGGTGGGGCGGAGGCAGGGGCGGGGCGGGGCCAGCCGCAGTGGCCGCGGCGGCGGCGGCGGCGGCGGCGTCTCCACCCGGAGCCAAGGTACATAGGCGGCCCTGGCCTTTCCAGAGCATCCTTTCCCTGCTGGCCCCGCGGGTCAGCCTGCAGCCGGTGCTGGCCGCCTCTCGCCTGGAGGCTGACTTCTTTGTTTGTTTTCTGCCCCCTGCCTCGTCTCTGCAGGACCTGTTCGTTCTTCTGCGGGCTATAAGAAAGCAGAGGATGAGATGTCCCGGACCACGTCTATTGGAGATCAGCTGGAGGCAACGGCCCGCACCATTTACCTCAACCAACCGCATCTCAACAAATTCTGCGACAACCAGATCAGGTAGGGGAAGGCGGCTGAGAGATGCCAGAGGCAGTGGATTTAGCTGGGGAGGGGCTCCCTTCCCGGTCGGTAGCTTTTCTCTCACCTAGCTGGACCTCCTCATCTGCTTCCTCCTGCACCTTGCTCCCCAATTCCCTCCACCCACCCAGAGCCTAGTGGTGTATACCGAAGGAGTCGTGTGAATACATCTTCAGCCTTCCTCCCCTTTGCTTCTATGCTGTGTCCAGCCTTTCTGCGGGCCCTGAGGAAGTTTTATTCTAATGTCACTCACAAAGTGAGGTCTCTTCTCTTTTCATCCCTGGGCTGCCTTTCAAGAATCCCCCATAATCTCTTTTTAACCTGATTAGTAGTTCTCTTTAGTAATTTGCAGATCTTAATGTAGGGAAATGCTTTATAAGGGAATCCCACAGATCTCAAAGATTCTTGGGTCTTCGTTAAGAGGTCTGTTTGCTGGGAAACTTTGCCCAGAGTTATCAGAAAGATGGATGGAAGGTAACATTTAAGTGCCTGCTTTTTGCTGGCTGCTGTGTTATATGCCTTAGCCATACTAGCTTCATGATTCTCCATCACCTCATGTGGCAGACATTATTACCTTCAGATCAGAAAATTGAAGTATAAAGATGCTAAGTAATGTACCTGTGGTTATGTAGCTACTAAATGGTAAAACTGGAAATTGAACCTGCTCCTCTGACTAGCAAACAGTTTCTTTCTGCTGTGCAAGGCTAGTTTTGTTTTGTTTTTTAGCATGGGTGTTAGTACATTTTCAAATTTAACTCAACTTTCAGGCTTAGAAAATTTTTGGTCTTGGAGTGACTTTAAGAGGATGTAGTTTTGTGAGCTGCTCAGAAAACCATCCTCAGGCATAGAGAACTTAAGTGATTGATCAGATTACACGTAGATTATTGACAAACCTGAATTTCAGTCCAGTGTTATTTCTCGAAAGTTTTGGCTTCAACTTTGTTGTTGTTATATGGTTAAGTATTCCACTGCTGTGGCAGTGCTTATACAGGGTGCTTAGCCTGACACCTTCATTTAGAAAGGTCTGGCTACTGGACATTATTGTAGCTTGATAGGATTTGGAGTAGAATAATAGTGCATATTATAGGAGGTGATATCTTCATTTATTAAGGGAGTATTAGGTTGTGCCAGACTTGTTTTGGGTATTAAGATTGAACATATTTTTATACGTATAAAAGTGCAACTTAAAAGAATAGCTGAGCTCTCATTCTAGAATGTATGGGCTTACTTTAAGACAACAAATCACCATTTCACAAACTAGAGTGAAATCAAAAAAGATAACAAGCATAGGCAAGGATGTAGAGAAAATGGAACCCTCATACATTGCTGATGAGAAGGAAAAATGGTGCAGTGGCTGTGGAGAGCAGGTTGGCAGTTCTTCAAAAGATTCCATGTAAAGTTACCATATGACCCAGCAATTCTGTTCCTAGGTATATACAACCAGGAGAAATGAAAACATATGTCCACATAAAAACTTATGTATAAACGTTCATAGCAGAATTATTTATAATGGCCAATAAGTGATCACAGTCAAATGTCTTTCAACTGATGAATGATGACTGAATAGATAAGTGTGGTATATCCATACAATGAAATATTATTTGGCTATCAAAAGGAATGAAATACACCTACTACACCATGGGTTAACTTTGGAAACATTATGCTAAGTGAAAGAAGCCAGTTATAAAAGACCTCATGTTGTCTGAGTTTATTTATATGAAATATCCAAAAGAGGCAATCTATAGAGACAGAGTGTTAGATCAATGTTTCCTAGGACAGGGGAAGGGGGAAGAGATTGGAGGAAACTACTATTAATGGGCATGGACTTTCATTTGTTAATGATGGTTGCACAAATCTTAATATACTTAAAACCATTTGGAATCTATCTAGCACTGCTAATATCGTTCCACTTTTCACACCTTCTCATACATTTCTATTTAATTGCTTTTATAAAGACAAAGATTATTTTTAAAAAGATAAATGCTCTATAAGGGTATGGAACTGAAGAATTACTTTTTTTCAAACTTTATAGTATGTTTTCAAAGGTATTTTACTTAATTCCTATTAATTTCTTTTATTTTTTGTGTCTATTGTGCTTGTATGAAGCTGGGAGAATAAATCAGGAGTCTCGAGCTTGGTCTAAATTTCCTAGTTTCCATGGGAGGTGAGGATTTCTAAGAACTTAGGTAATGGACTCTCAATACTGTTCTGAAATGAAGATTGAAAACTGACTTTTGAGACTGATTTTATTATTAGATTCCAAGTGGCTACTTATTGTATGGTTTCATTTGTGCTTTTTTTATAAGGTAGCAGAGAAGACTAAGTATGGGAATGTAGAATGGGCTGGCTAGATGTAAAGTAAGCAGATAGCAACTATTCTATTTAAAAACCTCATATAAGTATATAATTGAACTTGTTAAAATATATCATGTTAAGTATGAAATTTTAAAAAAATTTCTGAGTGCATGGCTTATCCTGTGAGCATAAGTTTCTGAATGCACTGGGTGGTGTCTAAGAAATTAAAAAGTGATCTTTGAGATTCTATAAAATGGCCTTTGAGTATGTGATTCACCTCTACTCTGTGTTTAAATAGGAATCACTGATGGTTATCAGTAACTTGTAGTTCATTAGGAATTAATTACAAAACTTCTTAGCATTAGAGTTTAAGGATTTTACAAAACATGGGGCCATGATGTTTTAGCATTTTAAATTATGCTGAAATCCAGTTTAAAAAAATATTGATTTTTAAAAATAAGGATTTTTTTTTTATCCTGGCCATGAATGTTTGCTGAAAGTTGATAAAGCTATCCAAGGGAATCTTTCTATAAAAGGAAATTGATAAAAGATTTCTTTTTTAAATATAATTTTTCATGAGAAAAGGTTACCAGTATTTTTTCTTAGAGGTAGGGCCATGAAAGTTTCATCTCAGTTTTCTGTGTGTGTATGTGTGTGTGTGTGTGTGTGTGTGTGTAGTTTTTTGCAGGGTTGGGGATTGAACCTAGGGCCTCATGCGTGCTAAGCACATGTTCTACCACTGAACTGTATCCTCCAGCCCTGTTTACTTCTATATTGAGGTTTTTGAAAAGAAGGGACATGTGGGACAGCTGAGGCTCACACTAGTATACTGGATCAGGGGTGTCTGATTATACACCTCAGGAATGCTCCGCTGTAGGACAGAGTTCTCTTATTTCCCTCCTCCCCAAGCCCTTTCTGGCATGGAACCTTACAGTCTTGGCAGATGCTCTGTGCTTGTCTCTGTGGGAAATTCATGTTTTGACTTCTAGACAGGGATGGGGCTCAGAATTTGATGCTAAGGGAGGGAGGTTGCTGTTGGGCATAGGGAAAGTAAGTGAGGGGTGATATACTTCAGGACAGGTATTATGTAGTCAAAGGTTAACATTTGGAACTGGTGTGATTCAACAGAGGCGGGGCCTGGGGAAAACTCTAAAGAGCAGAAGTGAATAGGTCACTTCTGGGGTTGACTGGCCTTGGTAACCCTGTAGGAGTGCACTCTATGGGAAGTCTAAATTCTGAGAAATTTCTTGAATTTCTGGGAGAGCTTGTACCTTGTATGTGGTTGTCCCTCCAAATCTTGGTCTTGTGCTTGACACTGAAAGTAACACCAGTGCCCGGTCTGAAGCCAATGACTTTGCATTACCTTCATGGTAGAGAATTATGATTGATCTTTTTCCTAGGCATTGATTCTCTAAGACTTTACGAGGATAGTAAATTCCTTTACCCCC